CAGCCTTGGCCGGCTCCTGTTTCTGTTAGTCCCACATGACCAGCAGTGACTATCTCAAAGGCATTATTCTCAGGAAGGCAGGACTTCACAGATGAGAGTCACTGGCCAGGACCACTCCCAGCCGGCTGCATTAGGTCCCCTAGGCTGCCTGCCAAATCCAGAACAAGAAGGGCAGGGCACTTCAGAATGGACTTTACACCATGTCATGTCACCTTGGGAGTAGTCCCACTGTTCCCTGGGTAGGGGTAGGTATGTAAAGTCCCTTCTGGTTGTAAATATCCATGATCCTTTCTTTCCATGTAAGAGATTCATTAATGTTTTCCAAACCATAGTAGAATAACAAAGAAGCCAAATTCAAATGCATGTGGGGCATTCACAATTCTGCAAGATAAAGAGAAATAAATGCTACTTTAAACCTTTTTTCTTTAATGCACTGACAACTAGAGAAGACCTAAACATCTATGATTTAGTAGGCAGACAGAACTTTATCAATTAAGGTGTTAAAGCCCAACTGGACAAGGTCTTTGTCTAGGACCCACAGCCTACGAGTCAGTTTGCTGTCCCTGAACTGGTACTTTGCCAAGGTCTCATGCAGCAATTAGGTTCCTTTAGCGATTCAGCAGCAGTGTCTACCAACCCACAACTCAGCTTATGGACTGGCATGCAGTCTCACAGCTAGATAGCCCAGCTACAGAGAGAGGCTGTCCTCAACTGCTATCCTTTGATTCCCAGTTCAGGGCTCTGGAGCCCTCTTGGCAGAATTCCCACTGAACTGATAGCAAATTCCATTTCAAAAATCAGCTGGTGCTGGCTGCCCAATTAAGCCCCTGTCCAAGGACAAAGACCAGAGTGACTTGGGCTGTCACAAGAGGGTGATAACATTTCCCAAGGTTCAAGCTGAACACACGGTGTCCTATTGGGCCAGATGGGCATCTTATCTCCCGTTTCACTTTACCATCTGGAACACATTTAGCACACAGCCGTTCCTTACAGGCTCTTGATTTTTTTTTCTATCCTCAAATCCCCAAGTGTGCATGATCACTCACATAATCCCGCAGGCCTTCCTTAAAGCCAAATGCTCAGCTCAGACTGAAAGTGAGGACCGAATGAAAAAAAGGAAATTGCTCTGAAATTGCCCCTGTGGTAAACACTGAGTAGTCTGCCTGTGGCATGACGGAATGGGGACTGTTAGGAGCCGAGAATGTGATTCTGAGCTACAACTTCTAGAAAAGTCCAAAGCCAGACTCAAAAGGTGCTAAGAAAGGCCACACATCCAGATATTTCCAGTCACCAGCACATGGGTGCCAGTCCCCCAAGCCAGCGTGTAAACATCCCAACATGCCAAGCTGCAGATTTCAGAGAGTGAGAGGTACAGCAAAAGAATGGAAGATCAATTCCTCCCCTTCATTTTAGACACTCCTCCTTCACAAGAGCTAAGTCTGCACCCAAGAGGAAGAGTGGTCTCTTCCAGCTTGACCCAAGCAGAACTTTAGCAGAAAGAAAGAAAATATTAACTAGAGAAAAAGGTCATCAGCAACACACTCCCCAAACTATAGGGGAGACTTTGACCCATGCTGGAAGAGGTCTCCAAGTCTCACTTTGGTCACGCCTGTTCATGTGTGAAGTTTCTGTATATGCCCTGAGTGCCTGATACAGAAGACACAGATGCACGCAGAGAACAAAAGGAGGCTGGTCTCAGCTGTCAAAGACCTTTGCACACAAAGGCCAAAGTACCTACCCAGATTAAGTGGCTCACAAACCTCAAAACCATGTAAGTATAAACAATACAAAACTGTCCCTATTTGACAACTGTCTATATCATGGTATCTTGTGATCTAATAGTCACCTGCTGGGAACACTAAGATCATAAACAAACACATAAGGGGACCTCACCTAGTGCAATAGGCAGAGAACATGTGGGCCTGGAAGTTATAGGAGTTTTTAATGGAATTCTGTTCTTCAGATCAGTAATGCCTTTTCTAAATTAAAAAAAAAATTTTCTCCACTTTATGATGCAGTTATTAACTGCCTGGTTATTAAAGACACAGCTAACCTTTGGAAGATAGGTGAATCCACTCAAAGACAAAGACTTGTATTGTGCAAACAAATAAGAACAAAACCCCTTACATGATTTGGGAACAAAAGGAAAAAGAGAAGCAAGAATCCTGGGTTTCTGCCATCTCAAAGCCTACGCTTCATTGAGACATCTGCAAGCATTCTACCAAGGCCACCATGCCTCCCCAGTACCGGAGAGTTTTGACAGAAGCCATAGACAGCTTCAGCCACAATGCTGGCCCAGGAGTCTCCAGTCCTGAGTTGCTGTGACCAGGACAAGACTGTCTCCATCTAGTATGTGCCACATGTGGGCCCTAGCACAGCAACAGGAATATCCCTAGGGACTGGAACCATCCAGATTTCTAAGCAGAGACTTGGGTGGGGCAGCTATCTGACTGTCACCAGTTATTCTGATGCAACCTGAAGTCAGGCAGCAAGCAGGCAGGTGAGTAGCTTTCCAATGGTACTGATGGGACTCCTTGGGATCCAAGGAGAGAATACCCACTAGGTATTGGGTATTGACATGACCTTAATACACTGTTCCACTGCCTGCTAAATGACATAGCTGTAAGTCATCACTTGGAAAAACCATTCTGATATGTGTGTGCGTGTGTGTGTGTGTGTGAAAACATGGAACAGATAAGAATGCAAATGACTGTGGACAATCTAGTCATTGGTAAAATGTTCTAGCGGACTCAGACCCAGGTTTCTGGGTTACCCAGAGATGTCAAACGCAAAATAGAACTAAAACCACGGGGTGCAAGCTGGTGTCTCCACAGAGGACATGAAGAAGTCTCTTTCCTTTCCTCTGAGGAATAAATACCTCCGCAAGAGCAACAGCTCCCTTCCAGTGATGAGCACAAGAAACAATTCAACACCAGAGCAGCAACAAGTGACTCTGGCCCGCCTTCTCTTCTCTCCCTCTCAGTTTTATACTAGCTCCCACCCTGTTTTTTGTTACTTTGTTGTTAAATATTTGGGACAGTCTTATTCAGCAGGCAGGCATCCTTTGCAACGTGACCAAGGCCTCTTGTTCTGCCTCCCTACTGCTGAGATCTCAGACATGAGCCACAGAGCCTGGCTCCATTTTCTTTAAATACCTTTTTTACTTTTTCCTAAATTTGTATTGCATTTGTGTGTGTGTGTGTGTGTGTGTGTGTGTGTGTGTGTGTGTCTGTGTGTGTGTCTGTGTGCGTGCGCGCCCGCTCACTTACATGCATACATGGCGTGAGCGTGGAGGTCTAAGGACAAATTGTAAGAGACCCATGTGGGTCCTAGAGATTAAAAGGTCATCAGGCTTGGCAGCCAAGCACCTTTATCCACTAAGCCATCTTGCTGGTCCTTTAAATACCTTTTTAAACACATTAAAAATTTTTTACTTGAATTGAAGAGGTGGCTGAGTGGTTAAGAGTACTTGCAAAGGACTTGAGTTTAGTTCCCAGCGTCCATATCAGGTGGCTGTAACCCCAGCTCTAGGGGATCCAAACCTCTCTTCTGGTCTCTGAGAGCACCTACACACATGTGGCATGCGCACGCACGCACACACACACACTCTTTTTTAATTAAAAATATAAAAAAAGTTGTGAGTTAATTTTTTTTAAGCTGAGCATGGTAGTATAGGCAGGGAGGAGTCAGTACACGTATGACACAGGTAAGTAGGCAAAACTCTTGTCCTCTCCTCCAATCCATGATCAAGTCACAGCATGCATGCCCCCATCCCTATCCCATTCCAGGTCAGGTGCTGCAGTTCTAAGAGTCGTGAAGACAAGTTCTTCCCTTCGAGGAGCCCCCAGAGTAGTTGGGGAGATAGACTTCGATGCAGGGAACTTAGAGGCTTCGAGAAGGGACAGTGACACAGTGGGTGGTGGCACCTGAATTTAAAGGAAGGCTCCTTAGAGGAAGAGACCTGAAGCACAAGCTCCAGGACGCAAAGTCCCTTCTCTGACCTGCTCTCTTGGGCTTCCCCAGTGCTACACAGGATCTGATAAGACGCAGTGGCTTTATAGACATAAATATATGTTAAAATGTGTACACATGAAGACTATGAATATAAACTAAGATGGGTACAGTCAGAGACTACATCAGTTAATATTGTCAACTTGGACAGGATCTAGAAACACTAAGGAGTTGTCTCTGAGCGGGACTGGAAAGGACTTTCTTGATGGGTTAACTAAAGAAAGAAGGCTACCCTAACCAGCTGCTGTGCGATCCTGCACCTTCCGTGCCACTCAAAATGTGAGCCAAAACAAATCCTTTTCTCCACGTGTTGCTTTTGTTGGGTATTTGTCATGGCAACAAGAAAAGTAACTAATACAGAGACTCAAGTGTTGACATGAATGTGCACTGTGTAATTATTTATATAGAGGACTCTCTCTCTCTCTCTCTCTCTGTGTGTGTGTGTGTGTGTGTGTGTGTGTGTGTGTTTGCTCAGTCTCAAGGCCACAGCAGACCAAGACTGGTCTATATGCAAAGGGGGAGTAAAGCTGAGTCCAGGCCAAGTATGGGGTGTCAAAGAACTAGGGTGTGAAGGGCAAGGAAGAAGGAAGGATTGTAGGAGGCAACAGAACAAAGCTGAGAGCCCAGGTCTCTGTGCCAGGCAAAAGCCTAAGAACCTGGTTCCTCCTCCCATGCTCGCTGACTCCTCTGTTCTCTGATCATCACCAAAGACAGCAGAAAGCAAGCAGCTGGCCCATCTGATGTCCCAGGCAGCCCACAGGTAGCCAGCCCCCTAAATCACATCCTGAAACAGCACATACACTCTGGAGGGCTTCCAGTGTCCTTTCAGAATACAATTAAGGCCACAAGAAGCTAAGCCTCAACACATACCTACTGTGTTTAGAACAAGTATATGGGCACTGTGAGAGGAAAATGTATGGGACAAGAGAAGAGAAGAGAGAACCTGTGGGGCCTGGGCTCAGGCAGCCCTAGCCATGTTTCTACTGTACCTCTCGACTGTCAGATGTGCAGAGACTGAGCTGGTGTTGTCACCATGATGGGAAGAGTCAGCTAAGGGTGGGTGTCCCAGGTCTGCAGGAGCAGCCGGCTGGATGACATCATCAGTTCCAGGGGCGCTATGGAGAAAAAGAAAAGAAAAGAAACTCAGAAAGTTCCTAAGAAATACAGATGTGTTTTAACATCTGGCCCTGGGCAGGGCTTGCACTCCCTTTCTGCAACAGGAAGGCGATACCTGTGCTTCTTACAGATGGTCCAAAGATATAGTGGTCCAGGAAGAGTGCTCTATCCCTGGCCAAACATAAGCAAGTACAGAAACCTGTAGGAGGAGGTTAGTATTTATAGATTCCACACACAGTAGTCAAGCAGCCCCTTCAGGGTGCTGTTTTTAGAAACAAAGGCACCGACAGGTTGAGTAACTTAAACCTGACCTCAGCAGCCACCCTCTCTATCACCACACCTGTCTGGGCCCCAAAGGTGGAGGAGTAAGAGAAAGGTAAGTGACCACCAGTGCAGGGAGCCATTCCTGTGTGTGAAAGCCGTGATTAGGAAGGAGCTTGAGATTCTGCAGAACAGCAAAAGGTCACTATAATCAGAGCATAGACAAAGGGGGGGGTCGCTATGGAGGGGGGAAGGGATAGAAGGCAGGTCACAAGACCAGGTGAAGGAATCAGGACTTGGTTGCAAGCCAGAGGATTAACCCGAAGCTTCTGAATGGTCAGGTGCCAATCAGGGCCCCTGGTGTATGCATGAGTGAGAGTGGGTGGACCCAGGAAATTTCCTAGAGCTACATTCTAAATACCAAGGGGCGGCAAATATGTATGCCCATGAATTACTACTATTCTCTGTGGGTCCTACCCATCATTCCAATTCCTCTGGGGCAGATGCTGGAGCCCTGTGGATATACATAAGAGTCAAGGAGATCACACAAGGAAAGATGGGGGGAGGGACCAGCTAGCAGGAGGAGGGATGGCCAGGATGCTAGAGGACTTTGGTGGATTACAATGTGGAAACGCCTAAATTATGGACATGATCAACTTTCTAAATGTCACAAAGCTGGAGGAGAAAAACAGTCCAGGAGTTTTGGCAGTACACACAGAACATCATAAAAGACTCGGCTTCCTTCAACACACCACGGTGTTTCCAAGATACTATTTTAAAAGATGATAAAGGCTGGGGAATAAGGAGACTGTGGTCACAGTAGCAAAAGCAACTGGAGGTGACCAAAATGTCTGACCTTGGGGAACCGTTCATCAGATTAAGGCACAGCTACAGACCAGATTCATTTGCAACGGTTTAAGAATATTGATAGAATGTTAGGCATCTAGGTGGAAATATTTTCATTATTAACTGAAAACAGGAAAAGCACATTGTGGGCCACACCATCAAGCTTCGTGTGAGTGCAGCAATGAGGCATGTAACAGTCCAAATGAGCTGGGTAAGCTAGACAGAATCTATACCAAAGTGTTAACAGCATAATTTCTTTCCTCGAGCTGTGTGTTTTTTGTTCTTTATAGATTTGATATCTATTTTATAGTTCTTTTAAAAAAATGTAATTATACTCTAACTTACTGTGTGTGTGCTCACGTGTGCATGTGTGTGTTCACGTGCATATGTGTGTATGAGGCAGTCAGAGCACAATTTCCATTATGGGTCCTGGGGATTGAACTCAGTTCCTCGGGCTTGGCACCTTTTATAGTTGAGCATCTCATGAACCCTGTTTTCTGGCACTATACTGAATGAATACCACTATTATGGTCGACATAAATAAAATATATAGAGATTCTAAGTGTCATGGAACAACCTTCTTCCCTGTCTTAGTGGGTGTTTTGTGACATGGGTACCATCGGGGCTACACCACTTCTGAGTTCATGCCGTCCCCGGTGAAGACTTGCCCACCTCATTGTAAGGCAGAAACACACCTACACTCATTCATCAAGCATCACTGAAAAAAATGAAGGACAAAGACAGAAGTTCCCCCAAAACAGACATCCACCCACACAGAGGATGGAATGGCATTTTTTCAAAGAATACTGACTCTTCCGTAAGTGTTCTGAACAGAAATAGTTCCTGGATGACGTTTTTGACTAATATCCTATTCGGTCATGACATTACTGAGCGAGTATGCTACCACACTCAAAAACTGTCGATGATGTCAAAAGGGCTGGATTCCAAAGCCATAGCAGCCCCACCTTGGGATCTCTGCCAGGTGACTTCTTGGGACTTTAGCTTTTCCATATGTAAGAGGGAAGGCTTGGGCTGCATCATCATACAGAGCTCCTGGATCCAGTCGCATCCCTGACTCTACTTACTAACTCACCTCTGTCTTTCTGCTGTTCACGTGTCCTCCACTTTGATATGCTATGGACTGAGGATGTTAGAACAGTGTGCCCAGCAAGCATTAGTAAGTTCCCAGTGACAGTCTAGCAACCTCTTGTACAAAAAATAAAATTAAGAATTGAAATACATATATATGTGTATGTAGAGTAGGCTGAACTACAGGCAATGTTAATAATTGTGTTTGCGTGTATGTGTGCATACATCAAATTCACACCATACCATCAGCACGGAGACCTTCCTCACTTAACTTCCTGGTGATCTGGTCAAGCTTCAAATAGCTTTGGATAGAGCTAAACTGATTTTTGGGTAGTTAGAGCTTCTTTATAAATACATAAACATTTCTTCAGGGGCTGGAGAGGGGGCTCAGTGGTTAAGCACACTAGCTGCTCTTGCAGAGGACTGGTTTTGGTCCCCAGAGTCCACCTGGTGACTTGCAACCATCTGTAACTCCAGTTCTAGGGGATTCAAGGTCCTCTTCTGACCTCTGTGGCATGAATGTGATGCATATACATGCATGCATGCAAAACATTCAAGGCCAGCCTGGACTACACAGTGGGTTCCAGGAGAGTCAGGGCTACAAAAAGAGACTCTGATTCAAAACTTTTTAAAATAATATTTTTAATTAAAAAAAAACCCACAGATTTCTTCACAGACCTACTCTCTGAGGTTATAAAGGCTTTCTAACTTCTACTAGTGGCAAACACTGAATCAAGAATGACTGAAATGTTTTTAGGGGGCAAATTTTGGTCAGAGATTTCAGCCACCAGCTGCTACCATCAGCTGCTGGGCCAGCCCTGCAAACCTAGGCAGCAAACGTTGAGTCCTCACTGGAATGTCTGGGGTGGGAAGCTCGTACCAACAAGTGCTTCTCCACAAGACTGTGCTTCACTACGGCAGACTAAGGTACCAAGGGCCCTGCCTCCAAGAGGAAGGTGCCCACGCACTAGCGTGAAAGGGCCGACAAACACCTTGGCCTCCACATACTTGGTTCCTCCATGCCCCATCAACAACCCGTGATGCCAGAGTGAATTACATGCAGCCATACACAGCATCTTGACAAGCTAATCCAGAGTAACAGTCTCTTAGTGTGTTAGGGCGATGTAAAAGATGCCATGAGATTGATAGCCTATAGAGCACTGCTCTGCATCTCTCAACATCTGGAGGCTGAGATTCCATAATCAACGCCAGCAGGTCTGGGGTCTGATGGGAGTCCTCCTCCAGGCTCATGGTTTGTGCTGTTTCTCTGTGTCCTCATCTGATGAAAAGGTCACAGGGAACTTTCTCTGGTCCCTTTCCTCTAACACTAATCCTACTCATGAGAGTTCACCCTCATGCCCAGCCATCTTCATCTTCCGAAGTCCCCACCTCTTAAAGTCTGTGCTCAATAGTTTTATGTCAACTTGACACAAGCTAGAGTCATAGAGAAGAGAGTCTCAATTGGGAAAAAAATGTCTCCATAATATTGGGCACTATGCAAGCCTATAGGGCATTTTCTTAATCAGTGGTTGGTGTGGGAGAGGCCAAGACAACTGTGGTGGGGGGGCACCCCTGGGTCTACAAAACAAAACCATAGGCTGACTAAATGATGGGTAGCAAGCCAATAAGCAACACTCCTCCATGGCCTCTGCATCAGCTCCTGCCTCCAGGTTCCCTCCCAGTTTGAATTCCTATCATGGCTTCCCTCAAAGGACTATGACTCCAGATATGTAAGCAATAGTAACCTCTTCCTCCCAAGCTGCTTTTGGACACAGTGTTTCATCAAGTAATGGTAACTCAAACAGGGTCTTAACCTATGAATTTGGGAGGACACAGTCAGACCCTAACAATGGAGGAACTAACGGTCATAGAAACACAGGATTCTTCCAGGCCAAATCTGGTGAGATTCTAAGAATATTCTAAGATTATGGGGAAACAAGTAAAGGGTACCACTGGGCCAGTATATTCAAAGAGCCTTGCAAATACAAGACAGTTTCTCAGGCTGGAGTGCAGCTCTGTGTGGTAACGTCCTCCACATCACACAAAACAAAAGCCCCCATACACACACTCCACTACTATTTGGTTCTAAAACCACTGGCTTTCCTTCCCTTCCTCTGGTAGACAAGAGTGGTGTGGAGGAGAGCACAGGGAAGATCAGGGTCCTAAGGAAGTTGCCAGCGCTGGGAGGACAGCCAGTATCAGAAAGACCCACGGCAGGACAAGCCAGACTCTCATGAGAAGAGGATCTGCATGTATAAAACGTGATGAGGCTGGAGCAAAAGAAAAACAGGGTTAGGTGGTGATCAGAGATTATCAATACATCTGGAATAGAGGTTGAGAGACACAGATGCATGTGCACACACGTGTGTGCCTGTGTGTGAACAGAGGGCCTCAAAAAGGAAAATAAGGGACTAGAGAGGTGACTTAGTGATTAAGAACACTGGTTTCTCTTCCTGAGAAGTGAGGTTCAGTTCCCAGCACCCACATGGCAGCTCACAATGAACTGTAACTCTAGTCTCGTAGGATCCAAAGACCTCTGAGGGCACTACCCATACATGGTGTATAGTACCATGCAGGCAAGACACCCATGCACACAGAATAAAATAGATGTTGACAAATTAATAAAAGATTGAAAATACAGAATGTATTGGATCACGGCCATTGAATTAGAGTAATAACCCATATGGACTGAATAATGACTAGGACAGATGAATGAATGAGGAAAAAGGATAGGCTTCTAGTGTGTTAGGCGTACGAGGAATGGTGGAAAAGAAGAGCCACAATGAAGACCCATCATGGAGGA